TCCCAGCGTTGGCATCCTAACTGTGGGCAGCTGGCTTTGCTGCTTTCTGCATCACAGGCAGTTGCCCACTGCGCATATGCGAGCCATGCTGTGCTTTGTGAATCTGACATGTCCAAGCCCCATAGAATTACAATGGGCTTTTACTAAACAAAAATGATGTATATACAAACTTTTCAGTTATAGCAGAAATATACAGGAGTGCTACATATGCTACAAATATGAGAGAGAGACTCTTCAGATATACTGTACATTTGACAGATCAGTTGTGTTTCGATTTATTATCACTTTAGAGCGGTATTACACCCAAAAGCAAACACTTATTATATTGCAGGTTAACAATTCTTAGCTGTGATGACTGCATTAGTTTTCAATATTCCAATATGGTAGTCAATATTCCAAAATATCAAACAATAACCAAAAAATAGCAGAACTTCCAAAAATACTAATTGATTCGGAACAACAAATCTATATTCTCCTAAAATAGTGAATCGTTCAGAAAATGAATCATTCTAACATAATGATTATGATGAATTGAAATGATTTACTTAACAAATGAATCACATTTTTCCATTGGGCTCATCTCTTCCGGTATCTGCTACTCTAGAATACCAGTCTATCTGTGGGTGTGAGCTATCAGACCACGCTGCATAGATTTGAGCAGGAACAAGTGCTATGTGCTCTGGGTACGTTGGGGTCTTTTTACAAGTATTTTCAACTTCTAGTGATAGTACATATCCACAAGCAGACAAATTAGCACAGGCACAGTTGACCCTTCCTATCATTCATAGCAACTACTCACTTCCCCGGTGCGCTGCTGGAACACGATAAAAAACCCAAACTTTCTGTATAGGGCTCATAGACAAACTTCTCCCCGCTTTCCAGGCCTAAACAAGGCTCATAGACAAACTGCACCCCGCCTTCCAGGCCTAAACAAGGCTCATAGACAAACTGCTCCCCGCTTTCCAGGCCTAAACAAGGCTCATTGACAAACTTCACCCCACTTTCCAGGCCTAAACAAGGCTCATTGACAAACTTCACCCTGCTTGCCTGGCCTAAACAAGGCTCATAGACAAACTGCACCCCGCCTTCCAGGCCTAAACAAGGCTCATAGACAAACTGCACCCCGCTTTACAGGCCTAAACAAGGCTCATAGACAAACTGCACCCCGCTTTCCAGGCCTAAACAAGGCTCATAGACAAACTGCACCCCGCTTTCCAGGCCTAAACAAGGCTCATTGACAAACTTCACCCCACTTTCCAGGCCTAAACAAGGCTCATTGACAAACTTCACCCTGCTTGCCTGGCCTAAACACCGATTACCAGGCTTAAACACCGTCATGTGGATGGGTAGAGGGTGTATAACTAGGTTTTATGCAAGTACTGACTTGCATAAAAGTCAAGAAAAAGAGGTTTACATTTTTAATGTCCCCTGCATTGGCGAAAGTTAGAGCCCCAGTCAGCTTTGTAGTCTGTGTTGCTTTTTGAGATCTGACCAGCTTTTTACTGCCTCCACGCTCATGACATTGTTGTCACCATGAGAAAAAGTGAAGGGAAATCTGTACAGCCCCACACAACAGTAAACATCCCACAGGTTTTAATCCTTTTACACGCAAAAAAAAAAAAGAGAGAGTGGATTTACAATTACAAAGATAAAAAAGACCATTCAACAGCTGTTTTTTTTACTATTTGAATATTGGCTATATACAGTGCATTTTGTATAGTAATAGGAAAGGTTACTTAACCATCTTGCATTGACCCTTTGCAGTCTAGTAGTCTTGAATGTAGTAGTAGTTGTAGTAGTACTGCATAACAACACTGCTTAAAATGCTAATTCAATTAAAATATAAAATGCGTCGGCTCCATATTATTTATATATATATGTATACGTGTGTGTGTGTGTGTGTGTGTATGTATGTGTGTGTGTGTGTGTGTATATATATATCACTCAGTACTTTCCCATGGAATTTGTTCTGTACTGAATGTGTAAATTGTAGGTCCCTGTGCGCTACTCCAATTTCCCACCCCGGGTTGCATCCCGTAATTCTCCCCTTGCCAACTTTTTTGCCAACTTTTTCTCTCTTTCTTTCTTTCTTTCTTTTCTTTCTTTTCTTTTTTTCTTTTCTTTTTCTTTTCTTTTTTCTTTCTTTCTCTTTCTTTCTCTTTCTTTTCTTTCTTTTCTTTTTTCTCTTTTTTTTCTTTCTTCTTTTTTTTTTTCTTTCTTTTTCTTTCTTTTTCTTTCTTTTTCCTTTCTTTTTTTCTTTCTTTCTTTCTCTCTCTTTCTTTCTTTCTTTCTTTCTCTCTTTTCTTTCTCTTTCTCTCTTTCTTTTCTCTTTTCTTTTCTCTTTTTTTCTTTCTCTTTCTCTCTTTCTTTTTTCTTTCTTTTCTTTTTTTTTTCTTTTTTCTTCTTTTTTCTTTTCTTTCTTTCTTCTCTTTTTCTTTCTTTCTTTCTCTTTCTCTTTTCTTTTCTCTTTCTTTTTTTCTCTTTTTCTATTTTTCTTTCTTTTTCTTTCTCTCTTTCTTTCTTTCTTTCTCTTCTCTTTTTCTTTTCTTCTTTTCTTTCTTTTTTTTCTTTTCTCTTTCTCTTTTTTCTCTTCTCTCTTTCTTTCTCTTTCTCTCTCTCTTTTTCTTCTCTCTTTCTCTTTCTCTTCTCTCTTTCTCTCTCTCTCTCTTTTCTCTTCTCTCTTTCTCTCTCTTTTGCCCTACCTCCTTTGAACCCTTTTCCCCCACATCTCCATCGACTTTTCCCAGCTCACACATGTCCACCTCCTATCTGTCCAGAGTCTGTATGCTCCATACATGTAATCATTTCTTGGTCATTTTTACCTTTTAAGAAGCTACGGTAATGCTGTTTGGGTCTTCACCCTGTTACCTGTGCTTTTTCTAACGAACTCTGCAGAATGTTCATTATCTGTGGATTATTTGAATACTGCATTTGTGTTTTTTATTGGAGGGGATCAGAATCCGGGCACACGGCAGGGAGGACTCATGGTAGTAAGGAGGGGGGAGGTGTAACCTTCTTCCCTTTTTTTTTTTTTTTTTTTTTTTTTTTTTTTTTGAATGGCTGCAATCAACGGCTTGTCAGCTGCTGATGACATCTATTTATGAATCAGCAGAGTCTAGAGAACTCTTCAGCTATAAGTTCTTGTTCACTGAATTGACCATGTGTTTATAGCTGAAGAGAAAGCCAAGGACGTAAGGATTACTGGGCTGGACAGCTTCAAGCAGTTCTGTTTCAGCATATCTCTTATGTCCATGGCAGTACAAGGGTTAAAGCTTAGTGGCATACTATAGTGACGAGAAATGTTAGGTATAATTTACTATACTATAGTGACGAGAAATGTTAGGTATAATTTTGGCACATAAAATGTATTTTTACCAAATCAAATACTAAATTTCAGTTGTGTTTTATGAGCTAAGCTACAGTATATTCAGTGCAGCAAGCATAATATACTCAGTAAGTTCATGTTGTAAAGCTTTGAGTCAAAATTATTGGATTTATTCTGTTCTATTTATGATGAAATGGACTGCTGTAACTGTTTTATTGCATTTACTGTGCAGAGGGAGATGTAGAAGTTGTGTGATTGTGGAAAAGTTCGCAGACGTTTGGATTTCAGATTGAGAAATCTGTACACTATTGTCTATTTCTCATCTACTACTGTGCACAAAAATACTCCAGCTTTCATTATTTTTAATTTTGGGACAAATATGAAAATACATTTATGTTGCTAATTTCTGTTGACTTGTTTTAAGCTGCTTTTATATTCCTATTGACTTGTGTTGGGGAGAGAAGCCATTTTGAAACAAACAAAAGCCCGTCCCATCTTAGACTTGTTTATTTACTTGCCCTCCAGAGGATTTACCCCCCTTACTGAAAATGACTTTTGAAGTTACATTAATATGTGATAGTTTTACATATGCTTAAGGCTGTTGTAATGAATTTAAATCCTTACTCCATTCAATGGTGTATTTGGGTTGAGAGGTTCTTTAGACAAAATATTAAAGTGTCTTTCTTAAGTTAAAGTCATTCTAAAGGTACAAAGATTTTTTTTTTTACTTGCATTAAGGTAAAAAATCTTCTGCAAGCAGTGCAGTCCCGATCCAGCGATGTGTATGAGAGCAGCGGCTGTCCCGGCCCTGTCTCTCTTCATTGGACAGAGGCGCAGCAGTGGGAGCTATTCTCCTGCTGCTGTCAACAGCCAGTGAGGAGGGAGTGGGGGGCGGGGCTGAGCCATGCTCTGTGTGTCAACAGACACACAGAGCCAGCTCAGGGGCACAGAGCAGGTAAACATGACCCACTTGCCCTCCAGAGGCCAAGCCATTTTTTGCGATACGGTGCTGCATTACTTTAACTGACAATTGCATGGTCATGCAGCACTGCAACACACCTAAATTAAATTTACGTCCTTTTTTTTTTCCCCCCACAAATAGAGCTTTCTTTTGTTGGTATTTGATCGTCTGTGCGGTTTTTTATTTTTTGCGCCATAAATAAAAGAAAATAGACAATTTTAAGAAAAAAAAAAAACGATATTTTTGACTTTTGCTATTAAACATGTCCAGTAAAAAAAAATTTAAAAATCAAATTTCGTCATACATTTAGGCCTAATTATATTCTGCTACATGTCTGCTAAAAAAAAAAAAAAAAATCACAATACGTGTACATTAATTGGTTTACGTGAAAGTTATAGCGTCTACAAATGGCAGTATATACTGGAATTTTTTTTTTACTAATGGCGGCGATCAGCAACTTCTAGCGGGACTGCGGCGGGCATTCTGACACTGGGGGGAACTGACATGGTGTCACTGACATCTCCAGTGACACCAATACAGTGATCAGTGCTAATAAAAAGCACTGACACTGTACTAATGTCACTGGGCATGAAGGGGGTAACTGGGGTGATCAAAGGGTTAACTGTGCTTTTTCACTATAGGGGCTGTGTGGTTTTTACTATAAGCACACTGCTTTAACCTCCCTAGCGGTATTCGAGTGTAGCTCGGGGTAAAATGTCTGTATCAAAAGCGGTAACCCCGAGCTACACTCGGGCTTACCATGCGGCGCTGCATAGGGATTCCCTGCAGAGCTTACCTTGTCCTGCGCTCCCGCGATGTGTCCCCTGCAGCGTCCTTGGCCATCTCCTCCGGCCGATGCCGGCATCCGGCTTCTGTGTTCCGGTCCCTGTGACGTCGGGACGTACGGGCGCTGCCGGCGGCGGGAAATTTAAAAATGTTAAAAAATTTCAATTTTTTCCTAACAAATATTACATAGTAAAACATTGCTGTTTCAACCCATTTCACATACATTTTGTCCCTACTGCTTTGTCCTGTGCCCTGTCTGCATTTTGTCTGTTCTTTCTGCCTGGAAACTGAGAAACGTCCATGGCGTCCAAAAAGTGTCCCTTTAGGTCAAAAGCGGTTTTAGACCAGCTAGAGAACAGCGATAGTAAATTAGAACCACTTGCAGAATTGAGTGATAATGATTTGTGGGGAAATTCATCATCAGACACTGAAAACGATTTTGCAACTTTGCTCAGCAATGTGCGAACTTGGCGCTCTATTTCAAATTTCAGTGTTTTTGGTTTGATTATATTATTGAATTAAATGTATTATTATTATATTATTAGTTTTTATGATTATTTATTAAATTATAATTTATGATTTCGTGTTTCAAATTTTATCATACCCGGGATGTTTAATAGACTCTTGTTCAGACAGATTTCAGTGAGTTATTCCTAAAAATTACAGCCTACAATAAAACAACTACATATTTCCATGCAAAATAATGGTACCGCTTTCAGCACCAAAAATCTGAAATAATCAGACCGCTAGGGAGGTTAATTGGCTCTGCTATGCAGAGCCATACAGAGCAGTGTGCAGGAGCTGACAGGGAAGAGATCTGTATAGTTTACATACAAGTCTCTCCTCCGTCAGAAACACTCAGTGATCACCGGGTGTCGTGTGATTTTGCGCACCCGTGCTGCCCTGTAGCAGTATTTCTGCTATAGGGCGGCGCAGAACTGGTTAAAAGACTTTATCCTACTGGATAGCAATACACATATTTATACTTATCAAAATTCCTGATTGCTGATTCCTTGATCGTTTAGACCCAAATCCCACTTTACTTTACATTTCACCCTTTAACACTTTATTTAATCCCCAACTCTGGGCACAAAACAAACCCTATTCCACCCTACCTCCTTCTTCGCTGTAGCTCAGGGGTCTCCAGACTTTCTAAACAAAGGTCTGGTTTACTGTCCTTTTGTTGGAATAGTGTTCATGTATTTTATGAAACTACATGTGTATTCAGTAGAGATATTTTCTTCAACCAGTAGATGGCAGTGTTTATAAGTTTGTAGCTGCATCCATTGTTAAACTCCATGTCTTTTCCCTGTAGTAGAGTTCCTGTTTCCTGTTTGCAGGGAAGCAGCAGATAAGCTGTCACTATTTGGGCTATATACAGAATCTCTAACACCTTTAGACTTAAGGAGGACTGGACTGTGGCCACTGGGAGTAGAAAATGCCCCAGCATCAGTGGGAATAAACCATGCTCAGGTTAGTTGGTCAGTGAGAAGAGAAATAGTACCAGAAAGCATACAGGGTTTCCAAGATGACATGTTTCGAGACAAAGGGGCTGATTTACTAAAGGCAAATAGGCTGTGCACTGCAAGTACACTGAAAGTGCAGTTGCGCTAGATCTGAGGGGAACATGCAACGAAAATAAAAAATGGAATTCTTGCTTGCACATGATTGGATGAAAGAAATCAGCAGAGCTTCCCCTCATTACAGAGCTTTCCCTTGGATATAAAGCAACTGTACTTGCAGTGCACAGCCTATTTACCTTTAGTAAATCAACCCCGTTGCGTCTTTGAGATTTGACAAAGAAGCAATGCCTCAAAACATGCCAGCTTGAATGTAGAAGCTTCCTTCTTTCTCCCAAGGAGCGGGGACCTTGCTACATTGTATCTAATGGGGTGTGTGTGTGTGTATGTGTGTGTGTGTATATATATATATATGTGTGTGTGTGTGTGTGTGTGTGTGTGTGTATATATATATATATATATATATATATATATATATGTATGTATGTGTGTGTGTGTCTTGCATTTCCGGGTAGGGGGCATGCACGCCGCCCTAACCGCACTGTCATTGGCAGCTACAGATGTCAATCACCGGGTCCTGGCTGGGGATTCCCCACCGGCACCTGGGGATTGCCGAGTAACACTGACCGGGGAGAGACCTGTGTGTAAACACAGGTCTCTCTCTTGCCAGCAATAACATGCAGCTGTGTATTTCTCTAAACAGCAGTAGGTTTCCCTAGTAAAACGCACACAGTTAACCCTTTGATCGCTCCAGATGTTAACCCCTTCCTGCCCAGTGTCGTTATTGCTGTGCTTTTTATTAGCAGTGATCACTGTATTGGTGTCACTGGGGATGTCAATGACACCAAGTGTGTTCCCACCCAGTGTCAGAATGCCTGCCGCAGTCCCGCTATAAGTCGCTGATCGGCGCCATTACTAGTATATAAAAAAAAAATTAAATTCCAGTATATATACTGCCATTTGTAAATGCTATAACTTTCACATAAACCAATTAATGTACATGTATTGGGATTTTGTTTTAGTGATGACCTGTAGCAGAATACACTTTGGCCTAAATTTATGAAGAAATTTTGCTATAAAACAGATCCAGTTAAAAATCAAAAAATATATTTTTTTTTTCCAAAATTGTCGGCCTTTTTATTTTTTTTCTAGCGCAAAAAAAAAAAAAAAAAAACGCACAGGTGATCAAATGGCCTGGTCAGGAAGGGAGGTAAATCCTCTGGAGGGCAAGTAGTTAAGAGTCCCACTGTGGTTTAGACATGCTTCCCACTCACTGCACACCACGGAAACCAGTGTAAGTGCCGTTTTATTATTGCTGTTTTAGTGTGGATTTTATTTATTCATTGCAGACTTTTTTTTTTGACCTTTAATTGACTCAAAGTGCCAATGAGAATTTTACATGAGATTGACATCTGCACATATCAATTTAATACCACCACAAGAGTGTATTTATTGCTTGGGCATGCAGATTAGTATCATATTTGACATTGGCATCAGTTTACATTTGGCACTCACAGCCAAGTAATCTATAAAGATACTGGCGCTGTCATCCGGACTGATCAGAACATATACACTCAAGGTCCTTGTGTTGTGTTTTTGTGTGTTATCTGTTTGGCTCCTTCTACACTACTTCCTATAGTAGCAGGTCCATTGGGTATTTATCTTTGGTATTTTTTGTGTTTCTTCCTGTTGACTGTCTAGCAGTAGGGTCCTCTGATGATCCAGAAGAGGAGTGACTTCATCATATGGTGGATATTAGGGGACCAGAAGGTGAGGGATCAAGTGCAACTTTGTTGCGACTTTGGCTTTTTCGTGTTTCTTCCTATTGGCTGTCTAGCAGTAGGGTCCTCTGATGATCCAGAAGAGGAGCGATTTCATAATATGGGGTATAATAGGGTACCAGAAGGTGAGGGATCAAGTGCAAATTTGGTGCGACTTTGGCCAAGGATGATTGTTTATGCTGTACAAAGTCGTACAGAAGTCGCATGTATAACATTCATGTGCGACTTACATGTGACTTTGGAGGGTTTACTCTGAGGTTTTATGGCCCTCATGTTGCATGAAAGTCAGACCAAAGTACTGCAGGAACTCCTTTCAAGTCGCTGTGACTTGAAGTTGCACAGATATGAATGATACTCATTGGGAAACATGGGGTGCTACTTGTCATGCGATTTTGCACCCCAAAGCAACATGACAAGTCGCACAAGTGTGAATGGGCTCTTATACGTTTAAACAATAGAGAGTAGATGGTCAAGTAAATCCGTTCTATTAAAAAAAGTGGAAAATAAATATATACACCTATTCAAAGAGTTCCTGTAAGGATGAATTGAAGAATCCTATCCTTCCTAGAGGTATTATTTTTTCAGAGAAAGGCAGAGTGATTGCTTCTGGTTATCAGTTAAAGCAGTTCTAAAGGCTGAAGGTTTTTTTTTTTTTTACTACTAAAAACCATACACACACACAAAGGATGAACCACCTCAATGGCTAATAACCAGAATTATTTATTGAAAGTACGCAATGGAAAAGTACAGTGCATGGATGTCACCAACCATCCCCTCCCCAACCCCCCCATACAACACCCCGTACCCAAAATCCCCCCAAAACACAACTCCCAGTGCCAAACCCCCCCCCCCAAAAAAAAAAAGGAATCCCACCCAAACACCCTGCCCTCACTCTCCCAGGTCACCCCCAACCCCCCAAATGAAGCCTTCCCCCTCCCGCCCAAGAGCCCCCTCCTCCCCCCAAACAAGGGAGGGTACTGGGTGACACAGACCAGTTCCCCACACCTATCCTAGTCCTCCTTCACTGTGCTGATGAAACCTCCCAAGGGGCCCTGCTGTGATTAGTGCTTTTGGACTGATGTCCATGTGCCAGCAAAAGTGTAAACCACAAGATAAATGGAGGTGTGCCATAAGGCATCACTATGCTGGTAGGAATTCACGTGTCCATGTGTAATATGCTCAAGTCCTCCTCAAACCACAAGATAAATGGAGGTATGCTATAAGGCATCAATGTGCTTGTAGGATTTCACATGTGTCCATGCATAATATGCTCAAGTCCTCCTCTGTTCTCATCACCATTAGAGCTTCAAAAGGGACATATAATCGGCACTTGACAGGTCCAGTCCACATCCAGGTAGCTGATTGACTCTGACTCTGTAATCAATGGCCATAGGATAAGTCCATCACTCAACACATAGGTAAATAGAACAGTCTCACCATGTGGATCTCAAGACAGGGATCTCGAAGCTTCCTGTTCTGGTACAGTTGACCGGGAAGTATGCAGTCCCATATAGTGTCTTGAAGATGAGTCGGCACAACTTGCAGCACAGTATGTGGTGTACACACAGCGGGTCAGAATGCCGGCATGCACTCCGACTTCTCAACATGTTTTGCCCCTTCCACTAACCGGGGCTGTATGAAGGTAAAAAACCTTCTGTGTGCAGCAGCACCCCCAGTCCCTGCTGCACCCCCAGCCCCCCATATTACCTAAGCCTCATCGCGATCCAGAGATGTGCACAAGAGCCTCGGCTCTCCAGGGACTCTCCTTCCTCATTGGCTGAGATAGCAGCAGAAGCCATTGTCTCTCACTGCTTTCGCACAGCCAATGAGCCAATGAGGAGATAGGGAGTGGCCCGAGCTATGGCTCTGTGTGTGGACACTCAGATGCAGCAGCTCAGGAGCGAGCCTGCTTGGGTGCCCCCCTAGTAAGCTGTTTGCTCTGGGGGCACTAGGCAGGAGGAGAGGAGCCAGGAGTGCTGGTGGGGGACCAGAGAAGAGGAGGATTGGGGCTGCTCTCTGCAAAACCACTGCACAGAGCAGGTAAGTATGACATTTGTTATTAAAAAAAAAAAACACAAAAAACTTGCCTT